ATTAAACTGGTCCCACCGCTAAAATGCGGTGCCACGTGTCGTTTTCATATATTGACCCGTAACAAGATTAATGCACGTCATTTTATAGATTATAAACAATGGGACTTACAAAATACATAGATAAAATATGAACAAAAATTGTGAGTTCTTGGGGCGTGCAACCACGGGCAACGTGGTTGCAAGAAAATGGGATTTTGATAAACCACAAGCCAACCACTAAGATCCAACTTTCGCCAAACAATTTTAGAATAATTCTACTTGTACATTAAAAAATGTACATAAGGATGTATACCCCCTCACATGAGAGTGAGATCCGTTTGTATAAAATATTTTTTTATTCAAGCAGGTCCCACTCCCATGTGAATGGGTGTACACCCCTATGTATATGGTGATGTACCACTAGTAAAACCGAAAATTTAATTATATGAAACTCAAGAAGTCATTCATCAATAATAGCAACTTATTTTTTATTAAGAAATCCATTAGATGTGGTGCCCTCTGAATTTATTTCAGACTCCCTACATCATTTACAATAAATACATACAATAGCTCTACTATGGATCATATGTCCATGGCAATGTAGTTTTTAGACCAGAAAACACTCAGTTTCACTTATTCCCTGGCATGATAAAGGAGACCAGCCAATTCAGAAAACGAAATATGATCATTCATAATCATCTAAGTACAAGATATCTAAGTTTTGGGTTAGGGAACTAAGAGAAGGGCATTACAGACAGGCTTCCGTCATTGAATACACAAGAAAATTTTTGAAGCATTGGACTACTGAAGGCCCAACGCAGAGCGAATCCCTCTGCACTTGTAGACCTGCACGAGTAGTTGTCACAGACTACAAACCAGGTAGGAAAACAGCATATAAAGATACAGACAGGGGCGGACCTAGGGGGTCCCATCATGTTTGGTATCGATTGAAATATAAATTTTAATTTAAATCAAAGTTAACAATTAATTTTAATAACATATTTCATATAATCGATAACTATTTAACTTTTATCAAAATTTACTAAAAATTTGATTTCAATCTGCATCAAACAGAGGCAAATCACAATAACTTTTAATTTTTCTATTTTTCTCTCGCATTTTAACAAAATCTTGATTCTCCATCAAACAAGGGCGAAATATTACATTCTTAATATCATTCCGAAGTGTTCACGGTTTAGTTTTTTACGCAGTTAATGGTGTATGAAACGATCATTCGTAACAAATGCTACGACTTGTCAAAATAAGCCGTTCAAAATTAGTATTTCGAAAATTTCGATAACATGCTAACTTTAAAAAATTTTCGACGATCGTACGCTAATCAAATATACAAATTGCTTATGTCATCTTAAAGCTTATTTTGAGAACTACATTATAGG